CTGCAAGTCCACTCAACTTTTTTATTTAAATGCTAATACCTGTAGAAGTAATTTTTTGATTGAACCACCAAACTGTTGATGTTCTTTCTGTCAGGCAATCCTGCTAACCACTTTTTTATTAGGCACTTAGAGCCAATGATGAATTAATTTAATAAAAATCAAATGACGGGAAATGTCTAAATAAACAGAAGATTAGTTTTTTCGAAATAGCTAAATCAGAGGTAGGCATTAACAGAAAACCTCAGGGCCAAAGACAAGAGTCGATTAGTGAAAATTCCCTTGAAGTATTAGTATTAGTAGTCTTTGGATGATGTTCCTGTTTCACTTAGACTTTACTAGCAAGTAGTTCACAGTTAACCAGCTAATCCAGACATGTAACTGTCTATAACCTTCTTTAAAGTGACACTAGATTTGATTTCTGGTTCAACAAATGGAAACTAGGTTGTCAGAAAAAGTCTGTCCTTTGTCCTAACAGGTGATAACTTAAAGTTTTTAAAACTCTCCTTGAGGTCTAACAACATTTCTTTAACATAGGGTTACAACTATTACATTTTACACAGCCTTTGGTTATATCACAGCTGGGAGTACATGCACACACACAGTGAGCCATTTCTGCACACAACCTGAGTGACAGTGTGCATAAGAGGAAAGAAAGAGTTGTTGTTGCACCACAGCAGATGGAGAGAGAGCAGCCAGATCTGCAGTGTGTGCACAATACAACTTTCCTACTTTCACTGCACTCTATCACACACACACACACACACACACACACACACAACCTCACTCCCCTCCACTCCCTTCCACGTGTCCCCTTCAACCCTGCAGCTAAAAAACACTCTGTTGCGTCTCCTCTTGTCGACTCTCCAGAATGACTGTCAGCAGTGATCGGCTGCTGTGCCATCACCAGTGGTGGTGACTCCGTGGTAGACGTGCACTGTGCTGTGTTTACATGTGTGTATAAGTTTGGGCTGGGGCGGGGGGGTAATAGACTTCCACCCCTGCCAGTCTTATCAGCGTCTTTACCTGGCAATCAGTGCTGTTATTGTAGGAAAGAGAAGGTACAGTGAGAGACTTTATCACTATTAATTACTCTTCATTTTAGTAGACCACATTTTTTCCATAATCATCTTTCCTAACCTGGTTTCCTAACAGCTAACGTCATTTAAAAGCCTACGTATGCAAATTTTTGGGGGTGAAAAAAAAATGTTTCGTGTTTAATACATTCCTGTGACAGAAGTAGAGAAAACCCTTCCTTCAAGTACACAGTTATACTCTCTGGAGAAGTAGAGCCTGCATTTGGAACGTACAGTACTGTACTCACGGTCTGCATAAATCCTGACAAATACTGCAGTTGTACAGGTGGTTTTATTATATCCGCTGATATCTGCACTGAAATGGAAGCATTAAATCAAACCACAGAGAGAGTGGTGGAGGCATGTGGTGAATAAAAAAAGGTCGCAGAGGAGAGGAGAGGAGAGGAGAGGAGAGGAGAGGAGGGGAGAGGGGCTGCCATGAGGATGACATTCTGTACATAAACATCTGTTTTGTTTTGTCATGGCTGCTCCCCAGGGTTTCCTGCTGCTTGGCATTATCCACGTGTGGATTCATTCTCTTGCCTTAACGTACGCGGCGGATTAGGATTGTGTGTAGCTACTGTTTGTGTTTGTGTGCTAATTAAGTGTTGCTCCTGCACAGACAAACACAATAGAGAACTCATCAGGGAGAGAAACCTGTCAGTAGAGCTTCCAGTGAAAGGTCCATACACATGTCCTCCCCTAGGACCAAGGAGTGTGGCTGCTGGTCAACCTCTGCTTCTTGTCATCCTGTGTGTGTGTGTGTGTGGGCAGCAGGGGTGAGGCAGAGAGAAGAGAGGGAGGGAAGAGGACTCTGGAAAGAAGTACACACATGGACCAGGTGGAGGTTTTTGAAGGAAGAAATAATTATAGCGTAACAGCACAGCCTCTACAGTCTGCCTGGGATTACTGTGAACCTCCTAATATATATTTTAAAAAAAGTTCTGTACAAATTTGTCCAAAAATGTATAAAATCATTTGTATAAAGTGCTAGTTTTATAGTCCAACTTAATTTAAAAAATGTCAAAAGAGCAAAAATCAAGATGTGCTAAAAATATAAATGTTCAAATATTGCTAAAACACAAAAAATAAAATAAAAATACCCCTTAAATTGCCTAAACCTCTGCCACTTAACAAAATATTAGCTTTTAGATAATCATAAGTTACTGTACACGTGGTAATAGTAGTAGTAGACTAAAGAATAGGAAAAGAAAAACGATGATGACGTGGTCATGCACAAACATAACAAAAGGAACAACCAAGTTGTAAGGAACAATGGCAGTTAATGTTTAGCAAGCAGCTCTTTATAATTAAGCAAAATATATTTTATGAACATAAAACATTTAAGTAGCAACAACTAATGTTGAACAACTTTGCATATAGCAAAAAACACAGAGCTTTGATTCTCCGTCATTGTCATGTCCTGTGATGTCACATATGCTAATGTTACATTTCAGCTTCTAACCTAAATCCTGTAACAAACAAGCAGCTGTCTTCAGCTTCCGATCACATTAATGCATATGACTAAAAAGAAAACATGCTTACACACATACACATCTACATGACTGGTGACGTCTTCCCAACTTCAGATCCATGGGTTTAATTATGCTAAACCATGCATGCAAAACAAAAACGAATTGAAGTACAAACAGCTCTACCTACTGTAGAAGGAAATATCAAAGACATCAAAGTGCTGTCCTTGTCAGAATAATGCATGAATAAACAGATATTTTATATACATCACAAGAATGTTTTGTTTGTGTATAAATATATATATATATATATATATATTGTGTTAGGGGTTATGGGGGGTAGGGGGGTCGGAGGGGTGAACATAATAATGAGCAGACAAGAGGCCACAGTCCCTGGAGATTAAGCTCACAGATCTTTGTTGCTTCTCCCTGACCCTCAGTCGTTGAATTGTATTTGCCCTCATAGAGATAGGACTCCATTGATCTCAGCAGAGGGGCAAAAAATCAGCTAATTAATTAGTGTGGAAGTCAGGATGCTTGAAGCAGAAGTCATTCTTGTGGGGAGAGAAAAGAAAAACAACAAAAGTCCCCGACTTACGTTGAGCGTGTCCCTGCAGAGGCTCCAGGTCAGGGCTTTGCTCTGTGTACCATATGTAAATACATCAGTCCATGTTTTATTGATGAGCCATGGTGTTAACTTTGCTATGGAAATGTGAAGATATGGAAATGGGCGGAAGTGTGTTGGATGAGAGAGGTTATTTTAGAAGATCGAAGTGGGATCAAGAGTTGAAGGTTTGGTACCTTTATACCAAGCAACTTAGAGACTGTGAACACATCATGTTGCATGAAATGTTTCACAATTTTACGTTGGGGTACAAACCAGGACTACAGTCAGACCAGTCCAGATAATGCACACAGTGTTTAGAAACAGCCAACAGCTCATCATTTGAGCTGCAACATGAATACTTCCCCCAGCATCCCTCAGATACACCCAGACCACGGTGGATGTCAGGCCACCTCTATCATACAAATCTTTCAAGTTTTCTTCATTTCTGTCTTGATCTGGTTTGTTTAATAGATTTTTTTTTCTTAAAGTTTTCACTTCATAGTCTATTTGCTCCTGTGTTCAGTCTCGCTTAGTGGGAGGACATGCACAGAGTAAAATCATGTTGTCTGTGAATTATTATACCATGACAAAACAGTCATGAGTATGTTTGAACGATTATACCAATGCCACTTGAACGCAGCACCCACTCTAGGCCGTTTAGGTCTCTTGGGTGAGAGGGGGACGGCCAGAGCCCCTGATTAAAGAAAAAACAGCCGCACTATGTGCTGATGAAAATATGCTGTATATTATATGTCATCAGGGATTTTTTACAATATTGGACTTATCGGAATGACATAATAGTTCCTGATATCGGCCGATCAATATGCACCCCTAGTTGTTGATACAAATGTCAGAGCCATTACTGAGGTTTTTGTTTTAATACAATTAGCAGTTTAAACAGTGACTCTTCTTTTCTCTGATGAAAGAGATGCATGCCTTTTTTTCTCTGCCTCTTTGCTTTGAAGATAAATGATGCACAAAGTTTTCGATTGGCTTTTCAATTCCATAACTGCCGCCCACGCTGCATTTTACACCTATATTTCCCTATTAGGCCTCATCTGTGTAGACCGAGTGGGTGTCGAGGAATTTGAATTCATTGACATGTCTCTGTCTCTCCTCTGTTTTGTTTCACCTGTTTGTAGAGTGTAAAAGTGTAATTATTTTTACTCAGGGTCTTTAAGTTCATATTTTCAAGAGAACAGATTCCATAATGTGAAACAAACAGAAAGATGTTTCACTACCACTGTGATGTTTACTTTGTGAGTTTGTGAAGTCAATAAAATGAATGCCAACCACACGTATGGACAGAAACAGTACCTCTCATCTCTTCATCTTGTGCAATTTATGTTAATCCTAATTGAATGTTAGGTAATTGATTTCTAATTGTGAGAAATAATAATAGAGGTTCTAGGTATCAGTCGTCAAATGGTTGATGTGGTAAATCACATTTTGCCAATTGTAGCTAATTGTTTATCAGACTTGTTTCTGCTCAGATCATAAATGTTTATAGAAAACGCCAGAACTCAGACTGAGGCTTTACTGCCTGACAATATCATGTCTCCTGAGGGTTGTAATTGTTGATCGTTTTGATTGAATTACACCAGCTTCAGCAGCAGCTTAAGGTTGTCCCTTTCTAATTGGAGTTGTTGACATTAAATGTTTCTTTGCCTTTGAACCCTTTAAAGGCAGTCTGTGCTGTGAGTAATTGATATCTGACATGTTTTAGTTGCTTTTGAATATAGTGAAGTGCTCTTTTCATGTTTGACGTACAGGTAATCAGTCATTAAAAGGAAAAATAAAGAGTAAGGACACGCAGCCTATTACAGCTCCATTGTACTTCCTTTACAGAAACAGTAATGAACGTGCTGGGTTGAAGTCACCACGGAAACGGCCCTGTGTCGATCAAGGTGTCAGAAGTGATTGGGACTGGACAGCACTCTGGCCTGGACCCATGGGGTGAGTCAGATCACACACACGCACACACCTATAGCGTGAGGTACAATCACTGCTGTCACCCCCCCCCCCCCCCCCCCCCCCCCCTCCCCCCCCCTCCCACATGTCCTCG